GGGTCTCCTCTCTGTGCTCCCTCCCCTAACCTTTCAGGCCTGGGTTTACCTGTTGGCACAACAAGCCTCCAGGGGATTCAGAGGTTATTCCTTCAAAGCTGCAAACTCCCCACAGCCCCCTTGACTTACAGTCTTAACAAGTGGCTCTGCGCTGTTACCCAGCGAGGGAAGTGGAGTGTTCACGGGAACAAACACAGCAAGGTGAGGTGTTCCTTATAACTCAGGTGACCTCTGTCAAATCCCAGCTCCCCCACCAGCCATCATGGGACGTGAACAGCTACTTACCTTCACAAGTCTTCCCTCAGCAGCAACAATGACAATACCTATTTGTCTCATTGAGGGTCAAAATTCAAAGTGGTATTATGAAAGATGTTCAGTCCTAAGCACCATAATGAAGTTTCATTATTAATATTAAGTAATGGCTCTCTGCACTGTCCCTGGAACAGGGAAGCCACCTTGAGGGCTGTGTCCCAGGAAGCTTGCTCTGGACAGCAAGGAACAGTATTATGGGAGCTACTCCTAGGAGGAGCGTGTGCAGGTTCATAAGAGTCACGATCTGGCCTGGTAAGAAGGGAGGCTTCACTTCTGAAGGGAAGTAAAATGGCACAGAGGGAACCAGCCTGGCAGCACTGCCCTGCACAGAGCCCTGCAGCCAGGAAGATGCAGAAGTCACCCAGAAAGTGCGAGGTGAAACTGGGAAGTCAGCTCTTCTCCCCCAGGGATTCACAGAGCTAATGAAGTTGAGAAGTCAGAGAGTGAGTAGGGGAGGACAAAAAGGCAAGCGTGGCACCAGGATGGCCTAAGCCAAGGCGCTGGGAGGGCGCATAGTGTGTGCCTGGGCGAAGCTAGTGTGGCTGTGGCAGAGAGGATGTGAGGGAGGCCTGAGGCGGCGGCTGGAGGCAGGTCGGCACCTTAGAGGGCCTAGAATGTCAACTTCAGACCTTTAAGACCCTCACACCTTGCCCATGGGCAATGCGGACATACTAAGGGCTCAGGAAAGGGCACAGCACAGTCACGACAGAAAGAGCTCAGGCAGCTGCCTGAGTGCAGAGGTGCCGAGGGGATACAAAGAGAATTGGAGGTTCTAGTCCTGGGTGCTAGAAATGGGCACCAAAGCATTGCCATGACAATTACAAACCCACCTAGCCAGCTGGGTTTGCATTCCTAGACCATTTGGTAACTTTTATGATCGTTAATCCCACAGCATTCTGCATTTTTATTTAGGGCCGGTGCTGCCAGATGGCAATAGACCCTCCCGTCACCTCGGTGGTTTTATAGGTTCCTTTCCGGATTACAGCATGAGGAAGTGCAGCAAGCACCCCTATCTCCTATGGTATCTTGATAGGCACCTTGGCAGCAAAGCCCAGTGCCAGGTGTCAGGTAGGACATCTGTGGCTCATATCAGCACCCTGGTATGCCACAACTCTAATGAGAACCTCAAATACTGGTGGGCTAGGGCCAAAGGAAGGGATGGGGACCTGGACAACAAAAATGATTGTTCTTCTCTGTCTCAACAAGTAAACTTTCCTCATTATACCTCACTTACTGTGAGATGTTAGTTGTTACGGGGCCTAAACCCCAAAGGGGGTGGTTAATAGCTTACTGTGGACAAGGGTTGGAGCCACAAAAGCCTATGAAAGCTCACAAGACATAACTGTAACCCGGAGAAGCTGATAGGCTGGACATGGTCCCTGTTGGATGTCTGTCATTTGCAGCCACTAAACTGACTCCACAGAGGCCACACAAACGGGAGGGAGGGTTTCAATGCTGTTACTGACTAGGGGTGAAGCAAGAGGCAAGGGGAGTAGCAACGAATGTGCCACCTATATCCTGGACAGAGGAAACAGGAAGGAAGGATGGGGACTGGGGAGGAGGACACGCAAATCACAGCAGGAACAGTTGATATTCACTGAGAGTTTGCTGCTTCACAGCTCTGTGAGGCAGACAAGACCCAAAAATCTTGGCTTCCCACCACCCATGAGGAAACTCAAGGTCCAAAACACTCAAGCCCAAGGTTGCTGAGCAGGAGAGTGGGAGGGAGAATGGGGGCTGGGAGGGGAGTGGGGGGAAGATCTCAGTATCCTAGGGAAACAGTGGAGGTGGGGGTGGCTGCCTGTTTCCCCCAGAGTGATTCTCAGAGTATTCATTGTTTAAGATGGTTCCTGGAAAAGTTCTCCCTCTAGATAAGCTGGAACCACAGTGTGCTGGGTCTCCTGGAGGCAGAGATGCCAGCAACACCTGAAGGCACTGCTGGAGTGAGACCCGCCTCACTTTGTCCAGACTGGCACTCCTCAAGGGCATTTGGCAGTGCCAAAGTACATTTGGCCACTTTGAAAGGCACACTTTGGGACAAAGCCCCGAAAGGCAGTGTCCGGTGCCAACCAGCACAGTGGTGCCACGGTACGAGCTCGCTGGCTTAGCTGTTCTGCCAGCTTGGACTGGGCAGGAGCTCAGACTGGGCAGGCAGCAGCATAAAGCTGGAATATGGAAACACCAGCTTTGGAAATCTTTTGTTTGAAAATAGGGGTGGGAAGATGCTGGCTGTTTAGATAAATCATGGCGTAGGAATTTAAGATGGTGGCTAGATTTCACCCTGCTATTTGTTTAGACTTTATAATTGACCAGGGAAGTCTCCATTCACCTGTAATATATCTATATAGGAGCATCTTGCTCTCCATTCTTCCTTGGCCACAGTCACCTAAATTAAAAAAACTCAGCATCATCAGTAACTCTTATAGCCTCCTTACCCAATTATATATTTTAATCTAGTTGACATGCCACCTAGACCACTGTTGTTTTCTGGTCAGGCAGGCTTGTGGGAGACCATTAGATGCTGTAATGAATGAGATCTGATAGCACTGTGTCTGCAGCTTCTCACTCAAATACGAATGAAGCACAGTCAAAGAGAGAAAGAAGAAGCAGCCGGCATGATGTGTTCTTAGTAATCCCTGCTGGCTCCTGGAGACCGTGGCTGCCTCTTCCAGGTGCTCACTGCCACTGCTTTATTAACAGGCTCCTGAATCTTTCTATGATCAATGTGTGTTCGCCAGCTTTAAACAATGGCTGAATTTAAACAATATTGGTTAGGTTCGGTGACCTGGATTCTACAGCACATTGACCAGCTCTCTCTTATATGCCCCAATATTCTTGAGATGACCTACAACTCTTAGGCTGTCTAGCTAGTAGATTTTCTTTCTTTTTTTAAAAAAATATTTGTTTATTTATACATACAAGAACTGGGGTACAAGCCAGAGGTGTGGTGTAAGGGGATTCACCAGACAGAGTAGGGAGCAGAACAGGCAGATGTAGTGAAATAGACTGCTGAGGGGAACAGCAGGCAGGTCAGGCGAGGTCTGCTGCACCATGTGGGTCACCTCTTTGGCCTGGGATAGAAGTCATGCTGCAGTGGCTATGGACAGCTTCAGAGCTGAGACTCAACCCCTTTTCCCCCCAGGGAGGCCCTCTAGCAGATTTTCTTATGGTCCTGGTCTATGCTTACTTGGTCAAAGGACTCAAATAACCTGGAGTGGTTTGCCTGCAACATATTCTCCCACTTTGAGCTCAGTTCCCCCAGAATAGGGCTGTTCTGTTCTTTCTTGTCTAATAGACTCAGCCCCTGACCCTTGTCCCATAATTTCTACTGCCTTCCTACCCCAGGGATCACCTCAATCTCCAGGCCCAGACAAGGCTCCTTTCTGCCTCGAAGTCTGGGTTCACTGGCTCCCACTGAGAAGGCCCATGTGTTTTTCTAGCCTTTAGAACAGTTCTACCATACCCTCTTCTGCTGAGCTTCCAAAGCTTTTAGTAACCATCATCCATTCACATGCCATGTGAGTTTGCTAACAAAATGTTAGTGAGACCCTTTTAGGGTCCCAGTTGCTTAAGTGGGGATGGAAACTTCAGAACAGGTAGAACTGGAACCTTACATTTTTTAGAATCTCTTTGCAGCAGCTGGCACAGTACTGTGCTGCAGCAGTCCAAAGAACTGCTGCCATTTCTGGTCTCCTTCTGGTCCAAGGGAAAGCATGCAACTTGGATGGAAGCTGTCAACTACCAACAATCTCATTACCTCGAGCAAACACAGAGTTTATCTGGTGATGAAATGGGTCCTTTAGAAATGGGCAAACTGTCTCCTCAGATAACTTTCAGTGCAACTTAGTTTACAGATAAATTAGGATTATTACTGCACCAGGAAATTAAAGTTTAAAGACAGGAATTTAAGTATTCAAGACAAAGTTGAAACATCAAAGTTATGCTCTTGAAAAAGCAATCAATGCTTCTCAGACAGACTAGAATAAGCTATTTCAAATAACCTACTGAAATAAGTTTTTTCAAAAACAAATGCTTCCCCCTAAATCAATCTGATTCTCCAGCTTGTGGTGATAAAGGCTGACATGTTTTCAACATCAGTTCACTAAGCAGCATTAAACCTGACATACACCACGATCACTGCCGTTGCTTTAATAATGCAGTGAGAAGCTCTCTCTTCTCAGACCAGCCCAGCTCACAATAGTACTTAGAGGACAGGTCAGACTTCCCCCAGACATTTGCTGGGGGCTGGCATTCAGGCCTAACCCATGGGTGCTGTCTCCTGCAGGAGTCTCAGAGGATGGAGTTAGACTGGGAAACTTCAGCTGCCTGAAAATCTGACAGTTAAATGAATGCTTTTATGTTTAAAAAGCAAAACATTCTGATACCCCAAAGCAGGATATAATCAGTGCTTTTTTTTGGAGGGGGTGGGAAGAAGTCAGGATTGGGATTTTTCTCTCTGTTTTTTTGGGAGGTGTCTTCAAAAGAAAATAAAACACCCTACCTATAAGAGTTGATAGCTGTGAACAACTAAGCAGATTGTATAACATTTAGGTTTATGAACTATTAGATAATGAGTGGCGTCATCAGGGTTGAAACCCACCAATGAGTAGGAAATTACTTCCTTTCCTTCACCCATATTTACACACATTCTATTTCCCTACCCCTCCCTCCCTCTTCCCAGACCTCACCTGGTTGATAACGTAGATGCCATAGTCTAACTGTTGCCGCTGCAGGATTGGGTGCAAGTAATAAAGCCAGTACTTGAGATGCTCCTGCCGATTGCGAAATGGAATAATGATGGCCACCTTGTGAGGAGATTTGCAGTCCTTGGGGCTGTAGCGGCCGCCCACCTTCACTTGCGGGTTCTGTTTCTCCACAAGCGTCAGGTCCACTTTTATATTAAAATCGATTGGCATGGGACCGACTAGAGAGGTAGAGGAAAGGAGAAGTTAGCAGGCCCAAGTTAGCCGGACTTGGGCTCCATACTGTCAGATGGTGAGGCTGCAGCTGCAGGACATGCCTCCTCCTGGGAGGCAGTGTGGTCATGGAAAAGGCACTCATGTCCAGTACTAGGTGTGGTGTCCAGCATTAGTATGACCAACCGCCCCAGGAAATCCCTCAGAGCCAGGCAAACTGAGACTCACTCTATGGAGCACTTACCTGCCCAGACACCATTCAGATTCGGTTTCTCAACCGAAACATAAAAAGGGGGGTAAATCCAAATGAAGAATGATGTTTTATATATATATATATATATATGTTTATGGTGTAGAAAATAAATAAATAAATAAGGGGTAAATCCTAAGGATTAGTTCCTGCTCAGACTCCATGACAGACTGTTTTAAGAACCAAATGAATGAGAAAGCACGAGAAAGCACTACCTAGAAATCTTAGCTCTGCCTCCTCACAGTTGTGTGGACTTTGCACAGCTTCCCTCCCAGCCTAGCCGTGTGTGTGTGTGTGTGTGTGTGTGTGTGTGTGTGTGTGTGTGTTGGGGAGGTCAGTTGAGCAGCCTTCAATACGAAGGTAGCAGGGAATGCTCTGAGGTCCTGCTCCCAGCCGGCTCCTCTCTAATGACTTAGGTTGTTCCCAAGGTCAGTCAAGTCAGACTCTCTAGGGGAGGGGCCTGAGAGTCCATATTCAAAAGTCCCAGGAAGGGACTTGATGGTAGGACTGGAGAGCATGAGACCCCAGAGGAGATGGAAAGAGTGAAGAAACAGCTGGGAAGAGCACCAAAGATGAATGCTTAGTAAAAGGCGAGTATGCAGTGATAACGAGGGGCATGAAGTAGGGACCAAGGATTAACTCCAAATTTGTTGCCTGGAAGAATATTGCTCCAGATTATGGGGACAGAAATAAGTAAGACAGCTCCTGGCATAGAGGAAGGCTGGTGAGACCTATAGACAGTTGATACTGAGTGAGTGTAGGTTCAGAGTAGAAAAAAAGGGAAAGGGGAAGAGATAGAGGCAGACGTGGTTATCCTTATCTCCTGGGTAGAAGCAGGCGGTGCCAAAAGAGGGCTGCACTTCTCAAAGGCTGGGGCTGCCTCTCATGCCACAGTGAGGCAGGAGCAAGATGACTGGCCATGGCACACAAAGAATGGGGGACAGGGTCAACTCTCCAACCCAGATCCTCAGTGCTTTCTGAAGGCCAGCCTTTCTCAAGGTGGGTTCCAGGAAGAACACGAATCCTGGTGCAATGTTCAATGGAAGAGCCAAATTTGGGCAGAAACCTGCACCCTAAATTCTGCTTCTGGAATGTCATGAGGTATATACTCCAGAGACTCTGAGAAGGTGTATAATCTAGAGCTCTCCCCGCCCCCCACTTCACTATATTTAGCCCACCATTTTCAACTGATGTGGGCACAGGACCAATTTGTTAGGAGGCTTCAGGAGCTATTGCTCTGATGTAACCAGCTTCACTATAAAGCAAACTATCCACAAAAAAAAAAACAAAAAACTGCGAAAGAAGGCCTCCGGGGCTGGCTGGGACTCGAACTCGCACTGAAGCGGCTGTGTCCAGCTTGCAGTGCTGCATCCTAGCCCGTTGGGCCACCAGTGTTCTCTAAATTATCTGTTTATGCAAACTTTTCCTTCAGTATGTGTGAAGGCCACTTCGAATTTGTTTTACTCAATACTTACTGGGAACCTGCTGTGGTGCCAAGTTGTGTGCCTAGTCTGAAGATGGGGTACTGAGAGGAAGGGACAGGATGGACAAGACAGTTCTCGACTTCAAGGAGCTCTCTGCTCCTTGTATGTGGCAGAACCTAAGTGAGAATCGCCTGGCTTATGGCTGGCCAACAGCAGAGCTTTATCATCAAACTGCCTCTTCTCACTCTCTGCTCCTCTGTGCCCCTCTCATAGCATGCCTCCAACCCTACTTGCCCAATCTAGCAATTCTCTCCTCGCCTTCTCTCTTTGCAGCTTCTCTGAGAACTTTGCAGTTTATACAAGTGATTGAACAGGTGGGTAGTCAGTGGCAGCTTCACACCTGGAGTCAAATTACCTTCTTGGGTTCAGTGCCAGCTAGGAGGCCTCCTGGAGTACCTACCCTGCTCCCTCCTGCCATGCTGCAGGGGCCACCCTCCACTGCATGCCTGGTTCTGGCCCAGAGAGAAAATCCGGAGATTCAGACTCCAGAGCAGTGAGCAGCTCTATTCAGAACCACGCAGCCCTGCTACCAGGTCTCAGAGTCACTGCCCAGGGCCTCAGAGGGAGGTGAAGGAAGGAAGCAGAGGGCTGAGGGCTCCCTGACAGTCCTCAGGCTGAGCCAGGGCTCCCTTGCTGTGCGGCACACGGCGCGTGCTACCACAGGCCCTCGGCCCCGCTGGGCCGGCTTGTGTGTTTTCTTGGCTCTGGGAGCTGGGAAGCAGGGTTACGTAAGCAGATGAGCAGATGTGAGCCTGTCCTCGGCTCCCCCAGCTAAAGCCCCGCCACGTGGGCCTCTCGGCTGGGAGTCCAGGTCATGGCCTTGCGTGTAAGTCGCTCAATAACTTCAATGTGTGAGCTCAACTCAGACAGATTCCACCGCTTCCCTTGCCCGGCACAGCAAACTCAAACACACACGTGCCCTCCCATCAAAACCTCTGCTAATCTAGAGCCAACCCAGCACAGATTCCACGCCTCACTTTCACGCTAACTGAAATGCCTGTTCGGTCCTCTAGCCTTGTTTAAGTAGGCTGGAACATCTAGTTCCTGCTTCCCAACAGTCCAGCCAGTGTTTCAGGACACAATTCCTGCCCTGATGCTGCTTTGTCACAGTGTTTCACCAGCCTGGGACAAGACAGTAGACAACTTTCTTCATTAAGCTAAAGGTCATCAATGTATCTGAATGCCCTTTCTTCTGAGATTAAGTGCTTCTTACTCTAGGAATGTTGTAATGTCCTTTTTTTTTTTTTTAATGAAATGACCATGGTGGATTTTGATGCTGGACTGATTTTTATACTTTTAGTTGTCTTTTTAAAAAGATTTATTTATTTATGCATACAGAACTGGGGTACAGGCCAGAGGTGCAGGGGCGGTGAGAGGCTTCACCAGAGACAGAGTGGGGAGCAGAACAGGCTGATGGATGAAGTACACTGCTGAGGGGAGCAGTGGGAGGGTCAGGAGAGGTCTCCTGACCCATGTGGGTCACCTCTGGGGCGAGGATCGAACTCATGCTGAAGTGACTTTCGCTTCTTAGTGCTGTGCTTTAACCCACTGTTCCACCAGGGAGGGTCCTATACTTTTAATTTTATAAAAATCATTTGGCAGTCATGGGTCAGCCCCTGAGTTTCTTTTGAAATTTTCCCAGCCAGTGAAATTCAAACATATGGTAACTATGGAACTAGGCAGGGCCCAGAGCTTTATGATTCTAAAAGTTGGAGTGCTTGAATATTTCTCTTGGCCGGGTCTCATGGTTAGCACATGGCACAGCCCCCTTTCAAACTTCCTACCGCGCCCCCACCATCACAGAATTATTTCACAGACTCGCTTAGGAGGCCTTTTTTTCTCTGTACCCACCTTCCAAAGGCCAGCTACATGCCAGAAACTGAGCCAGGTGCTACCAATGCTCCAGACTTGGGAATGACAACTGTTTACAGTGGCGCCAAAACACTGTCCCCAAGGCCCCTTAGACTAGAAATCAAAAGCATCATCTGCTACACAGGGCTCATCCCAAAACTTCTCTCCCACCTACCAGGAAAAAGCAGCTTTCCAGAGTTCCCCAAGGACTTCGTAATCCCCAACCCAACAGCTACCTGGTCTTGGTTCAATCATCACCTCCCTTAGGAAACCTTTTTGAACCTCACAAGGTTGGTTCTTCCTCTTTCTACTTTTCCGTTATGTACACAGAGTACCACATGCATTAAAATGTGTACCTGGCTAGCACACACTACAAGCCTATTGGTACCAGGCATGTAACAGTGGAGTAGTGCTGTGTTAAGAGTAGGTCTCTGTCCTTGGCAAGAGGGCATCAGCAAAGCAAACAACAGGGGTGAGAGCAGCAGTGGTGATAACAGCTGATACAACATGAAGGAAGGAAGTTAACTCTGGGGCCAGAGTCAAGGAAAGCTTTGCAGAAAAACAGTTGCCTGAATTGGGCTTCTCAGCTCCTCCTCTCTAAGAACACAGCACACACAGCAGTGAGTATAAATGGCTACCATGGTCACAGAGAACACCAACAAATCTTAGCCGAGTGCAGGGCACACCGCCTTTCTTCCCACTTCTCTGTCACTGATGAAAGCAACAAAGAGATTCCAATGAACCATGAGAAAACTTCACAGAAGAACATGAGACAGTCACCAGCAGGGGCTTCCCTATGATAGCCATTTCTCATTGAATTTTAAAATCTAAACTCACCAAAGTTTAAACAGTGCCAGAAATATCAACTTTTATTTTCCTTTATACCTTTGGATATATATATATAAAGATTTAT